CTGAATGAATTATTCCATTGCAATGGAATAAATTCAGGAAACTGGATTTAAATAGATTCCCCAGTTGTAGGCAGAGGTGGCCTTGTCTGATGTTGCTGTGCCTTTGTTTCTGCTTTGCTAAGTCCGAAAAGTCATCCATATGTCCCATGGCTGGCCAAATGTTCTGTCCTTTAAAACTTTTCTGCTCTTCTCGGTTGTTTGCACAATGTTATGTCTTGTAAAAAGACATCATATGCTGCATGGTTCTTCCTCTGTTGATCCCTTGACTCCACTTCCGGTGACCTCTAGTCTCTGCCTCTGGTGGCGGGCTCTCTGCGCCACCGGCCACTGCTGTGGCTGTCTGCTCTTGTTGAACACCAGTTGATGTCAGGAACTGCTACACCTGTGTGCAAGTGCTCCATGTGGTGAACTACAGGAGACTGCAGGTGGCAGTATCCCAATGGATTACTTTGTGGTCCTGGATTAACTCTTGCCACCCATTAGATCCTCTGTGCAGGAAGAAGTATAAAAGGCTTCCTGTTCCAGTGGAACCTTACTCAAACTAAGAGGTCTCCCTGAGCTCTGGTGGGTTCCTCTAAGTCTAGTTATTCTGCAGTCCTGACTTCAGGCTATCTCCTTGACCTTGTCTCTTAGTTGACCTTTGATCCTGATTACTTGCTTCACTGATGCCTTCTGTTTCTAGGGTCTCCTCAGATTGCTGCTCTCAACTCAGACTTTGCAGGTGGCTTTCAGTTCCATACCGGAAGTTCAGACTATTGGAACACACCTCTGAAGCTTAGCTGGAATGTTGTAATTCTAATCAAGCAGCTTTATCATGTGGAAATTACAGATAAGCAAGCATTGCTTCTAGCTATAAACAATAGGTTTATGCAGTTAATGGAGGCAAAAGATCTATCCAAGCTTTGCACACTATACAACCACTAAGCTCTTGTGAGTTAGGTAAGCTGAAGCATTACGAGTGAATGTTCTGCTTCATGTAACTCTTTTACTTAAAGTCCAAGCAAGTGGGCTATTGACTTCTACCATCAAGGTGGGATTCTTTTTAATGGGCTTCTCCTTTGGCTGCTAGCCTCTTAGAATGCTCTGACGTGTTGAGCTGCTCTGCCTTTTTGTCCCATGTGACCTCTAACCCCTGGATCTTCGTTTCCAGCATCCTCTTCCTCTTCATGGGAGCTTGTGTTCCTGCGGTTTGTTTGGCTTTCCTCTGGGAGACTGGACAGCATTCTTTCTCCACTACTGTTGTTGTTATGTGCCATCAGGTCATCTCCGACTTATGGTGACCCTGTGAATGAAAGCCCCTCCTGTCCATGACAGCCCTGCTCAGCTCTTGTAAATTCCAGGCTTTATCCATTCAACCCATCTCATATTTGGTCTTCTTTTTCTTCCACTACCTTCAACTTTCCCTAGCATCATGGTCTCTCCAGGAAATTTTGCCTTTTCATGATGTGCCCAAAGTAGCTTCAGTTTTGTCATTTTTGCTTCCAGGTAAAGTTGATCTAGGACACAATGTTCATCCTTTTGTCAATCCAGGGTATTTGCAAAGCTCTCCTCTTGCACCATGTTTCAAATGCATCAATTTTCTTCATGTCAGCTTTCATCACTGTCCAGCTTTCACACCCATACATAGTAATAAATAAATAATTGATTGATTGATTTTATATTTATGCCGGGATGTCTCCAGATTTTTATGTATTTTTATGTAATTGTATAGTTATTTATTTGTGTTGGAAGCCGCCCTGAGGCTTTTGCGAACGGGGCGGCAAATAAAATAAATAAATAAATAAATATTCATAGCAAATTCCCTTCCAAGGGAGGTGCAACTGGCACCCTCTTTATCTTGCTTTCAGGGCCAAGTTAATATTTTTTTATTTAGTATCTGTTTTTAGATTTGACTATTGGTTTGCTACTGATTTATTGTTTCATTGTTCGTTGGTTGTTGTTTTATTGGTTACATTGTGTTTATTTGTTCCTGTTGTGTTTATATGGTTATATTTTTATTCTATTATGCCTTGTGGTTTTATTGTTATTTATTTTTATCTGTTTTTTTATTATTGTGCTGTGAGCTGCCCACAGAGACTCTGGCTATGGGGTGGCATACAAATGCAATCAATCAATCATCAGGAATAGAATAGCATGGATAAAGTTGGCCTTGGTCTCCAGTGAAGCGTCCTGACACTTGCTGCTCTTTTTTGGTTCCTTCATTGCTGCCCTTCCAGGCTCAGGCTTCCTTAAATTTCTTGGCTGTGGTTACCATTTGATGTGGTGACTGAACCTAAGTATATGATCTCTTACTGCTACTTGCCCCTATTTTTGGCTTCTGTGCCCTTGAAACTTCGGCAGCGGCTTCCTCCTTGCCCTTCTTTACTGAGTCAAAATAATGTCTTCAGCACATTGGTACGTGAGGCCCAATCCCTAGACAGGCTGGGTCACTTTACTCTGTTTCAAAGTTCTATGGTCCAGGTGAGGAACCTGTTACTGCCAGATGTTGTGGACTCTGAATTCCTACCATCCCAGATTATATAATGGCCTCCACAAAGACAATTCTGTTATGGAAATAGCAGGCCTTTTCATCTCCCTGGAGAATAAATGTGAACCAATTCCAGAGTTCTGTTCTCAGCATGGTTATCTACAAAAAGCTCTTTTATGTGATTGGGTATCCATGTAGCTGTCAGAATATTGAAATGCTCTTCCCACACGGTTCCGCCAGATCATGTGGTAACCAACCATACCAGTCCTGCTGGCTCCTCCGGAGAGATGTGGCTAAGATACATCAAACACAGCCTGATGGAGCCACATGTGAAGTGCACTTAAATGTTCTGTCAGCTGCAATGTTCAATGGCAGCCAGGCTGAAAACAGAATATCTGAATCAGGCCTGAATGAACAATATCGAAGCAAAGAGCTGTGCCGCTGAAATGAATTTGGGAATAAATTGCTGCTGCTTGAAACTCTAAGCATAAACCAACATCACCCACAACTGACTTTATTCTCTTTCCGCATTCTCATAAATCTGGGAAGGCCTAATTCTAATCTTTGTTTCAAATGTTATTGTGCAGAAACTCCTCACCATCCATGTTTTGCCATGGCAGTAATTTCTTTGGATTTTCTAGTTACACCATATATTTTAGACATTAAGCTGCTCTAGATATAATGTTAAACTATAGATTAGCTTTAGAAAATGAACTGTGGGATCAGGAACTCCTTCTGCTCTTTCTCTAGTCCAGCTTCAAGGTGTTCGAAAGCTTTCACTTCCACTTTAACCCAATTTTGCTTTGTCATCCCAACTGGATCATGAATGCTTAATTGTAATGGTAGTTCATTGCAACAGGCCACCATCAGGCAACAATTTCTGAAACTGGCTTATTTCGACCAAATACAGTTAGGATTAATTGCAGTTCAGGGGTTGAACTATGTGATAAAACGTGGTTAATCCAAGATGGAAGCAGAAGCATCCAGTCTCCTCATGGCACACCAGAGGAGAGAGGCAAGGAAGCGTGTGACAGAGTAGGAGTGGGCAACCTGTGGCCCACGGGCTGCATGAAGACCTTGGCTTAATTTCAGGAACCTTTTACGAGTGCTTTGTTTTGGCAGGAGCCATCTATTCTTCCCCAGCAACCTGTTGGGTGGTAGGAGAGATGGAGAGCTAGAAGGGGAGGGCAGAAAAGGACAGAAAATGTGTATGAGGGCAAAAGAGGCAGAGTGAAAAGTGGGTGGCAGAAAGATAAAGGGGGAGGTAGGCCTGCCTTCTACTGGCTTTGGTCTCACCACCTGGTGGATTCCTGACTACCTGCTCTCAATCAAGTATGGCCCTCAAGAGAAAAATGCTTCCTCACCTGCAAGCCAAACCATGATTATATCTGAACACTCCAGTTCTACAGCCAAAACTGTACATTGTTTTGAAGGACTGAGCCAACAACAGCTTACCTGTAGGCGAACCCTGGATGGCATGGGGCCTAAGACACAGTGATGAAAGAAAGTGGTGCAGTAAGGAAGGACGCCTGTTCTATATATAGCTTATAAAGTGTCTTCAGCCTTGAGGAGTAGCGTGACATGAGTGGAAATATAAATTACCCTTTGCAAGTGTAAAAAACTTCTACTGGCAATGCCAACTGTGTTAGCTGGTACAACAGGTTTTTCAGGGAATCCCATTTTGTTAGTCAACTTTGCTGGCACTGCGGCAGCAGTTCCTTACTCTATGGTGATTTATGTTAGTACGTGATACTTTTTATGACACACATTTCTTTTAATATTGTACTTTTCTTCAGTCTGATTGTTGCTGAGATGGTAAACCTGTGTTTTGATTGCCTCAAGAGGGGATTATATGATTAAATTAATTACCTACTGTAAAAGAAAATATATGTCTAAATCCCTGCACATAGAAAGCAAGCCTATCAAGGGGAAACCTAGGCTATAATGCTTATACTTGTCTATTGGATTGCAATCCTGTGGCCACTTTCCTAGGACTAAGCCCCACTGAACACATGAGGAATTAATTTTCAATAAACATGCATAGGATTGCACTGTTCGTTTTCTTTGCCTGTTAGGGGGTCGTTTGAGGGGTTACCAGGGACCTTCCAATCATGAGCAATCCATCTGCAGTCTGAAACATAGCCTTAGCTACAGGACTGCCGCTTCAACAGGCTTTAATGCCATCTGTTAATGCCCAGATATAATAGGGTACAGGTGTCTTTTTCGCTCCCTTTCCCAGTAGTTCCCAACATTGTTTGCATTTTTTTAAACGTCGGCTGTAAGCAGGCCAGATAATACTTGGAAACAAATGCCTCCTCTTGCATTTTAGCCAAAGCAAGAGATAATTCTTTTATTAGTGCCATTTAGCTGGAAGCATTCCTGGATGAAAAATGTGCGGGGCGGACTGGGCGGGGCATGCTTGTGCTGAAGGAGGCGAAGCAGAAAGGGGTGGAGGAAGAAGAGGCGAAATCAAACTTGGGGCACGCTTGGGACATGGATCATCCACAGGAAGTCCGGGGCAGGACCCCAGCGTGCTTCGCATTCCTCCTCGCAGTAACAAAACCTGTGAAATGGCAGGTGGAGAGCTGAGCTTCAATGCAGAGAAGTTCTTTTCCTTCTGACACAGCGGGATTTGGGCTTTGCCAGTTGACAGGGCAGGATTTTCCAGCAGGGAAAGCATAGCAGGGAGGCGCAAGCACGTTGTTTCAACCTGCAAGACAGTTCCTGAGGAGTTACGAAGTGTGAGTTTGCAAACCGCTCCCTTTTGGAAACTTCATTTGTGGAAAGTTTGAGAGTTGCATTCTGCATTAAGAAGAGGTAATTTAGAAAGCAGTTAACCTGTTACCCTGAACTGCCTTCTCTCTCTCTCTCTCTCTCTCTCTCTCTCTCTCTCTCTCTCTCTCTCTCTCTGTGTGTGTGTGTGTGTGTGTGTTTGTGAGAGAGAGTTTCTTTGCTGCTTCAGCTCTCATCGTTCTTCATGTCTGAGAAGACCTTTCCCTCTCTCGTTTCCCATCGTTGTATTAGAAAAATGCACATTGGGGAGCAAAGGCTACTGTTTAATTCTGAAAATATATAGTCATGCAGGATAAGTAATAACTTTAATGTATATATTACATGCTATGGACAGAAAGGAACCATTCAGTATATAGTTGTACTTTAAAGTATGCTAGTCCCGTATTTTGAAGGTTAGGAGTAGTTTAGGTGCTTATGCTGCAAATCTGAAGGTCTGAGTATGTCGGCCGTGAGGAGGGCTTACTGCCTATTGGTTCAGGCTGTGCAACTTAATTGGAAGTCGTGAATTAACTCCTGTAACTGAAGCAACTTTACCACTTAACGAAACTGCATCCTAGTGCCTAGCAGTGCTGGTAGCTGTAAAGATAAATGCTGGGAATGGGTTCTTTGATTCCCAGCCCGACTTCATGATGTTGGGTACATGTGTCTGTTAAAATGCATTGTTGTGCTTAGTAACAGAGCGTTCAGCTATGGTCGCTGGGGAACCGGAAAGTCTGTGTGCGGGTCCTGCAGTGGTCTGCCTCTATTTAAGCTTTGGCATTTTTCTCGTAGTCGTCGTGCAGCAGAATCCAGCAAAAGATAACTACTGTCATTTCTGGTAGATTCACTAGTAAATGTCTCAGAATTTAAAGCTAGAATGCGGGCAAGGTAATTCTATTGCATGCTATATTACAGGTCTAGCTGCCTGCCCCACCCCCGACTCCCTTCTACTGAAAAGAAGTGTGCAGAGAGGTAGGCAAGGACCACAGGTGTGACCCTATGTCAAAGCCAGAGGTACACAACTCAGGGATCTGCATATGTTTTGGACGACAGCTCCCACCATCCCTGAAGTTTGTAGGTCTTTCCTCCTACTACATGCATGATTGCACCATATTTTTCTCTTTTTGAAGGGTGCAGTGTTAAACAACGCCTAAAAGGAAGCAAGTCCCATTGGACCCAAATAAAGTGTTTCCTCTCTGATCTCCATATATCCATAATAGATAGATATAGATCTATATATTTAATAGAAAGAAAAAATTGAAAAGCAATTTGAAATGTTGTCTTTAAAGCTCTGCAAATCAAAGAACTGCCCCCACCCCACCCCACCCCACCCCACCCCAGAAATATTTTTGGCAACTCTTCCCCTCCAAACCTTTAGACTGGTTACAGGCCTGAGGTTCAAAGAGTGGGGCTCATGTTTGGGGAAATACATATAGAACCCTTCATCAACCTGGTACCTCCGGATGTTTTGCAGTGGCATTCCTGCCCATTGGCCATGCTTGAAGCTGATGGAGGTTGTAGTCCAAAACATCTGTAAGGCACCAGGATGGGGAATGCTGTTGCAAAGGGGCTGACCTCATGCACCCAAAGGACACAAAACTAAATGGCACTGTTTTATTTAAAAGCGAAACCCAAATCCACTGGAAACAGCTGTTCTTGCCTTTGTTTGGTTGAATTGCTAAATGAGCCACAAGAATGCCTGGGTTTTATCTGCTTTTGACATACTTTTCTAGATGGAGTAGTTCTTAAAGGGGGATGGGAGTTCAATCCTGAACCCACTCTGAAGTCCTAGTTTGAAGAACAGGATTTTGCAAGAAGGCTTCCATTTCATTGCACTTTATGAATCCTTATATGGCACCCAGAGGGCTTCAGCTGTTGGATAGTGCAGAAATAAAATCAATGCAATGTGATCTGGACCCCCTTGGTGCATGATGTGGAAGTCTTTGTGTGTGCAACTGTACATGTGAGGGCTGCTTCCATGCAGAGCTGCTTGGCATGACCCCACTCGCTCATTGGTGGAGTATGTGAACCATTCTTCTAAATCGGACTTCTGAATTGCTGTCTGCCCAGCTAACATCAAACAGCTCCAGGAAGTGTACATGGAGTCGTTCCATTTTAACCTTGCAGCAGCCCGGCTCTGAAGTAGGTTAGGGTGACTTATTCAAGGGCACCCAGTGAGCGTCATGCTCAAGCAGGGCTTTGCACGCAGATCTCTCTAGTTCAACTCCAGTACTGTGTCTGCTATCAATAATGGAACTGTTGCCCAGAGCCTTATAAGGAAAATAGAGCAACATCTGTGCAAATGCAAAAACTTTTGACAAAAAATGAAACTCTAGCTCCTATTTGAAATTAGCATTTGCCCCATTCCTGTTAATTATTAAAGGGATACCAAAGTCCCAAGAGATGAACACGTAAAGGGATAAGGCTTCTAGCTTTTCAGCAAAAATCAGGGCACTAGACTTTTTAATAGCTCAGAAAAGCATTGGAAATTATATTGCTGTTAAATTCCCTTCAGGCTAAATTTTCAGCACTGACTCATAAGCTGTCAGGAATCAGATTCTCACTAGGCATGATTCACCGGACTTCTCCACACCACAGATCTTTTTGTACAACAGTATGTGGGCAAGCAGTAGGCACCTGTGCCTGCTATCTGTCCTTTTGTATCGAGGGTTTAGGCAGATGAGGCGAGATTAATTCCATGGTTTACTGCAGGCAAAATGCTGACTCCCTAGAAACTGTGGTTTGCATGCAAATCAGGATCCTCCCCCTTCTTCAGAGTAAATCCCGCATCTCTTCCAGTATTGAGGAATCAGGGTTTAGCATTACATATATAATAGTGCAGGTCAAAGTCCAGGGACCCATAGCTGATGACCATCTAAAGAATGACAGGCGATGAGGGCATCAGAGCAGAGGAGCAAACTCTGTTTTATTCCTGTACTCATGGTGTTGCAATGGATTTAAAATGCAGACTTGTACTCAGTCCAAACTGGCAACCAGTCTTACTGTTTTTCTAATTTATCAGGAACGTAGACACAGTTGTTGCATGTGGAACTTTGGCTGGGGACAAAGAGAAATGTTACTGTGTGTTTCAGAACTGAAATAGTACAAGATGGTTGTCTAAAGCAGGTCTCTGTAAGCCCATTAAGTCCAGGGGCTAAAATTACCTAACTGCACCTGGGTACTTGTGTGCCCATAATAAACATGGTTAATACTAACCAGATTTCTCATAACCAGGTTCCCAAGCGCACATCAAAGCACAGTTTCAAAGCCTGGTTTACGAGGAAAGTAACCATGGGGCAAAGTAGAACTATTCAGCAACTGAGTGAATGGATTTTAATATAAATTGCATAATCTGGGTTGGGGAACTGATGTGGAGGCGAGGGGGCTTTAATTCTTTATCCCACTATAGTTTCAGTGCTAATCGAGCCCCCTGCACCAGCTGTTTGCTGTGTGGAAAAGACCCTCAATTTGTGTTGGTGGCAGCTTCTCCCACAGTGCAGGCAGCCGTGTAGAAGGACAGTCCAGATTGAGACTACAGGAGGAGGTGAAAGGATGAAGGCCCCATCTCCATTCCAAGGTCCCTTCCAATGAAAGCTGCACTGCCACCCCTGCAATTTACTTGAAAAAAACTTTCATACAGTTGCTAATGGTGTAAACAGTCTGACAGCTAATTTGTGCCTAATTTGGCTCTATATAAGCATGGTTAAGTTCAGTGTCTGTGCAATACTAAACCATTATTAATGCAAAATAGGGGAGGGGGGATTGCTCCAGAGAGCAGAGGATGGCCCTTGAGTTCCTGCAGGTTGCTTTCTGTTGTGAACTATGATTTAGGGAGCTGTCATGATCATCTGCACTTGATCACAAGGGTTCCGCTTGGATCTGGACTTTTCAATGTGATGCTTCCTCATGGGAGTATTTGTTGCATGACTTCTCAGTTAGTTTAGCTTTTATTGACATCCTTTGAATGTCTCAAGTTATCTTGTCCTACTGAAGAACAGGATTGAGCATCATGGCCTTTACCAGCAAGGTGGATCTCACAGGTATCTCTTTGCCGTGATACAGTTAGATAGCTAGGAATTAGTCACGGGGATCCAGAGCCCCAGCTATGCTTTGATACACCCTGCTCTTTCATAGGCAGTCTACCCCATTCATTTCCATGTGTGGGAGCATATCCACATAGGAAAGATATGCTACATAGCCATAACTAATGGCTCTGCTGCTTCCACTGAACATAAGGGGGTCAAACTTTGCAGGTGTAGCAGCTCTGTGTGTGGGCTTGTAATAAGTCAGGGCCAATGTGATGAGGCCACCCTCTTTAGCATACCTTTGATCTGAGCATTTTAAATATGCTAACTGTCTTAAACTGTTTTTCTCTCATTGCTGTGCCATCATGAGAGCTGGGAAAGAGAGCTCTTTCCATGCAGTATCTAAGTCCATGCTGTAAAATGCTAGATAACTCCCTGGATGTCTGTGCTTCTTTTGTCCGAGCCTTTTGCTGCAAACACATGAGGTGGGAATAGCAAGTACCTAGCTAGTATCTCACCCATCCTTCTCCAGTCTGAGCATCTGCAGAATTGGTGGATTAGAACTCTTGCCACCCACAAAGAAAATAGTCGTGCCTCCTGGGTGATTATGGGGACTGTAGTCCAACATAGTTGGAGGGCTCCAGGTTGGAGAAAGGTGATCTAACCCATTTGTCCTGCCTGCCCTAGATTCTGTTTGCTCAGTGTCCCAGTGCCTTGATTACCTGGCTCTGTCCTACTCTCTTGTTCCAATCTTCTGCTGTCAACTAGTTCCAACGGGGCAACACCTCATTAGGCAGGAATGGGTCCTCTGTGCAGTAACTCTTCTCTCAGTCAATTGCCTTCTGCACATCCAGGTCTACTCAGTTTGGTGCTTCATTGTCAAACTGGGTGACTGTGAGGATGGAGGAGGAGTGATGCTCTTCCTCTTCAGGTTGATGCCTCCCGTGTTGTTCCCCATCAGCTGCAGTGTAGGTTGATGAGAAACCCCTGCAACTTTGACCCCTTTGGAATAAGCAGGTT